AAAAGGATTTTTGTCTGTATGTTTCCCCAAAAGTCGATACTAATACTTAAAAATCAAAATATTGTATATTCAGTCTTTCAACTTCACTTGAAAACTTTGAAGCTCTCATATCCATAGGTTCACTTTTCAGGAGGCATGACAATAATCTTCTATAAAAGAGTAATGACTGCCCTTTAAAGTACAGCATGTTTTCTGTAACCTATGTTTAATATCCAGCCTTCCTTTTCTTTTAATTGCCACATATACCTGGCTATTGAGGTCTTTGTGTTTTTATCCCCCAATCTGGAAATTTAATGTTTTGAAAAGAGAAATGCATTCAGATAACCCAGGATAGATACCAGTCAAGTCCAGATCTCAGGGAAATCCTCTCTTTACCAGTCCTTATCATCCATCCTCCACCTAACTGCTCTAGTCATCTAGGAGGACCATTTTCACCCAACAAATGCCTTTGAGCACTTACTATATTCTACGTGCTTGGGATATGGCAATAAGTAAAGCAGGGAAAAGTCCCTGTTTTTATGAAGTTTACATTCTAATGTGTGTGTGTGTGTCGGGTGTTGGGGGAGACAAGTAGAAAACAAATATGGAATATGATATCAGATAGTAGTAAATAGAGTAAACAGAAATAGAGCCAAGTGAGAGGGAAAAGAATGTGATGGGTAGTCCATCAATGGATGAATAGATCTAGAAAATTTGACATATGTACACAATGGAATAGGCTTTCCCGAGGGGCCCAGATACTAAAGAATCCACCTGCAATGCGGGAGACCTGTGTTTGCTCTCTGGGTTGGGAAGATCCCCTGGAGGAGGGCATGGCAACCCATTCCAGTATTCTTGCCTGGAGAGTCCCCATGGACAGAGGAGCCTGGTGGGCTATAGTTCTTGGGGTCACAAAGTCAGACATGACTGAGTGACTAAGCACAGCACACAACAGAATATTATTCAGCCTTAATAAAGAAAGAGATTCTTGTCATTTGCAACAACATGGATGAACCTGGAGGGCATTATGGTAAGTGAAATAAGACAGAGAAAGCTAAATATAGTGTACGATATCACTTATATGTGGAATTATTTTTAAGTTGAAGTCATAGAAACAGAAAAGAGAAAAGTGCTTGTCAGGGGATGGAGGGTGGGGGAGAAAATAGGGTGAGATTAGTAAAAGGGCACAAATTTCAGGTAGGTGAATATGGTTGGAGAAGCTAAGGTATAAAATGGTGACAATAATGGATAACACTGGATTGTATCATTGAAATTTGCCAGGAAGGTAGAAATTAAATGTTCTCACACACACAGAAATAAAAGATAGATGTGTGAGGTGATTGTTAATTAACTCAATGGGGGAAGTCATTTCACAACTTACAGATAATCATGCTGTACACTTAAAATATCTTACAATTTTGTTTGTCAGTTTTACCTGATGGCTCAGACGGTAAAGAACCTGACTGCAATGCGAGAGGCCTGGGTTCAATCCCAGGGTCGGGAAGATCCCCTGGAAAAGGGAATGGCTACCCACTCCAGTATCCTTGCCTGGATAATTCCATGGACAGAGGAGCTTGGTGGGCTACAGTACATGGGGTCACAAAGAGTCGGACATGACTGAATGACTAACACTTTCACTTTTTTTAACTCAATAAAGCTAAAAGAATGTTTTAAAGAAAGAGATTGGGTAGTACTATCTTATAAAGAGTGACCAGGGAAAGGCCTATTGAGTAGGTAGTATTTAAACAGAGACCTGTAAGAAAAGAGGGAGTGAGTCATTGGAACTGCTGGGGAAAGAGGGTTCCCGGCAGAGGAAGTAGCAAGTGCAAAGATCAAGAATCAGGACCTTGCTTGGTGAGCATGAGAAATAGAAAGGAGGCTAGTGTATGCAAAGTTTAAGGCAGATTGTGGTAGAAAATGAGATCAGAAATGTCTTGGAGGACATGGCAAAGATTTGGGGTTTCACTCTAAGTGTAACAGTGTGGTGGTGGTGTGGTTAATTGCTACGTCAGGTCTGACTCTTGTGATACTATGGACTGTGGTCCGCCAGGCTCCTCTTTCCTTGGGATTTCCCAGGCAAGAATACTGGAGTGGGTAGCCACTCTTTTCTCCAGGGGATCTTCCAGACCCATGGATCAAACCCGCATCTCCTGCACTGCAGGCAGATTCTTTACCAACTGAGTCACCAGGGAACTGAAGGTTCTGTAATTGGATGGTTCTGACTAGAGAAATGATATGATTTGACCTGAGTATTTAAAGGATAAATCCAGATGCTGTGTTGAGATTAGACTGTAAGGGAACAAGGGACAAGCAGGGAGACCAGTTAGGGGGAAAATGCAGTGAGCCAGGTAATTGATGCTGGTGGCTCAGACTTAGATGGTAACAATAAAGGTGGGGAAAGTGCTCAGTGTTGATGTGTTGTAAAGGCATAGCCATCAAATTTCCTGCTAGACTAGATATAGCGTGTGTGAGTAAAGAAAAAGTCAAGGATGACTCCAAGGATATTTGGCCTGAGCAACTGGGAGGATGGTGATGGAGATGGAGAAGGCAACTGGAGGATCAAGTTTATAGGGAGGAGAAATCAGAAATCCTGAGTGGGACAAGTGAAGCTTGATATGCCTACTAGATATGTTTACTAGTGGAGTTTTTGAATTGTTGTGGAATAGGCAGTTAGGAATACAACTCTGGAGTTTAGGCAAGAAGTCCAAGCTAAAGACATAAATTTGGGAGATGGCAGCAAATAAATCATGAGCAAAACTGAGTTGGAGATGGAATCAACTCATCTAGGGACTGAGAAGAGGGGACCTGAAGTCTGGGGAACTCTTATGTTTAGAAAGATGGGAGTTAATATTCTCAGTTATTCATGATTTAGACACATTTCCTTGTAGAAGCCGTGGGAGGCAGCAGTTTTACAGGGTACCTTGGTTTCTGTGTCAGATTATTAGAAGTGAAGGGCTCCTAGTGGTTACTTTACTTATCAAAGGAAAGTGGATTTATTTTAAAACTCAAGGCTATTTCTACCTCTACTGACTGACTATAAGACCCCCCTCGTTATTTTTCCTCTGAGCAAGTTTTTATTTATAACACTTTATATATTTTGTACAATTTTTTGTTTCATGAGTAAGGTTTGTCTTTCTTTGTGCCCTCACTGCCCTGCAGACTATAAACCCCATGCAGGCTTAAGGATGTCTATTTCCTAATACCTAACACAATGCTTGCTATACATGCTCCTCAATAATAAAAGAGAACATTATTCTTTCATTAACCAGAAGGGTTCTAAGTGCCTATTAGTGGTGAGACAGTGCCCAAGTTACTGAGGATACTTAGGTGCAGTCAAGTCTGGCTTGGAGGATCTCTAAGCCTAAAATGAGACTGAGATGGACAGGAACAAAACTATCCTTGCAACAAGGTTATCTGGACATGATCAATGTCTGCCTTTCATGTAGGTGGACAAGCGGTTGCTAAGTGCATACAAGTTCCATTTAATAACACTTTGAGCATGATATACTTCATATCATATCATTATTATTTGAACCTCAAAGTGACTCTGCAAAGTAGGTATTATTACCCCTATTTTATAGATGAGGAAACTAAGGTTTAGGCTGTCTAATCAGACAAGTTAGTCCTACTAAGGCAGGTAGCTAAGTCAGTAGCTGCACTGGGATCTCCTGAAGCACAGTCTCATTTCACTGTCCATGTTAGACTCCTCTATACTTAAACACTCCATTATTTTAAAACAAAATCATGTCTAGCAGAGTAAGAAGTGGTGCTAGAGAGATAAAAGCATTATTCTCAGACTAATGACATTTCCCTGCTTCTCCTAGAGCTGCTGGGCAAGGTCAAGTATTAGAGCTGGTGGGAAAATAGAAATCCCATCTTGGCTACAAGGTACAACTAGTGACCTTGCTAATTGAATCTGTTCTATTGCTCTATAGCCTAGACGAGAAGAACACTGATTGAGAACATTTGTTCAGTTACATTTACAAAACCTTTTCCAGATGCACATATACAGAAAGTATTTAGTCTTTTGCAGTAATCAGGAGTTGTGGTAGGGTAAGAGCCGATCTTGGAAGCTGCTCCAGCTGCCTGAATTGTTATTCCTATATCTACTTTTCTCTATTTGTATATTTATAGTTTCTTTTCTTTGCTCATTATGTGCAATTTCCACCCCATATGGAATCATCTCTGAGAGTGATCTACATAAAGGCCAAACGATTTAAAAATATATGCACCTGATGAAGGCCTTGAACACCAGGTCATATCATGAAATATTGTTCATAATCTTCATTATAACAATGGTAAAATATTATATGATACTAGTCCTTATTTCTATTTATATTCTAGTCAGGGAATTTAAAAAGGGACTGTTTCTTATCCAATAGTAAAATCGCTAGTATTTCATTTAAGCAATATAAGATGAAGGTGAACTATAGAGAAAAATTTAAATATCAATGCCCCTCAAATCTTATGTAATACTTATAACCAAGGTATTTTTTCATCTCATTGGATTTTTAAAAATTTTTATTTATTTTAATTGGAGGAAAATTACTTTACAATATTGTGATGGTTTTTACCATACATCAGTATGAATTGGCCATAGGTATACATTTGTTCACCCGATCCTGAACCCGCCTGCCACCTCCTTCCCCACCTCATCCCTCCAGGTTGTCACAGAGTCCCTCCTACACTGTCGGTGGGAATGCAAACTGATACAATTACTATGGAGAACAGTATGTAGATTCCTTTAAAAAATAGGAATAAAATACAATATGGCCCTGCAATCTCACTGGATTTAACACAATTTAACAATATTTCATATCATCTGTCCATTTTCTAATGATATGAAGATCATAGGCATTTTATGCTAATATCCACAGCAAAAGAGAGATTTTTCCTTAAAAATAAAAAAATGATTAATAGAAATTTATACTAGATAATAAAATCAGGCCAGGAAACATACCTAACTTCAATAGTTACTACATAGTTAAACAAACTATAGTAACAGTTATAAAAATAAATACCCTTTTTACGCAGCAGAACACTGGCATGTTTTCGTCCATTTCGGTTTTCCACATGGCAGGTATAATTCGCCAGGTCAGCCTCCACCACTGAATCAAAGATGAGTGCCAACTCAACTTCTTTTTCTCCAAGATGCTCTTTGAGGAGCCTGAAATAAAGGAAAGTACTCTTGGCTAAATCGGTTTGATTTGGGGAGAGCCCAGTCATGCAAAGACTGAAGATAGTTACGTAGCTCACTAAGGTCTCCAGTAGGCTGATGGGTGTATATGCAAAAACTTCAAAAAGAAACAAAAAGTGACTTTTAATGTGAAGATCAGATGGGAAAGGAAAAAAAGTGAGGAATTTACTCAGCAAAAAGAAATATTAACATGCCACTAGGCTTTGATAAATGAAGCCAGTATGATTTGTGTAGCAAACAGGAGGAGACATTGGGCTCCATATTCTAAGCTGAGCTTATGAAAACAAACTGGATTGTTCGCATCACAACATGAAGGGGGAAAATCTGTAGAAATGTAGGGTTTGTGTTAGAGTTTTGACAACAGGGGGTAAGACAGTTAAAACGGCTTTTCAAAAGCCTTGAAAAGGATTGCTTTATGAGAAGTAAACTAAGCGTGGTTAGTGGCATTCTATCCCCAAATATCAGTAAGAAGCCTGTTCTCTACTTTCTCCTGCCTTTTGTCCAATGCAAGCATATATCCCTAATCCTCTAATGTACTACTATGGCCCTGCTTCCCACCCCCTCCACAACATTGCTCACCATTTGTCTTTCTCCTTCCCTCTGCACCCTCCTACCCTCACAAGAGAAACCACCTTATGTGTATTTTTTCATAGTCCTGTCTTTTGCTTTCTCAAGTGAGGTTGCAGGTCTTGAATGGCCAGTAACAGTTGTTCTTCGCAGAGGAGCTGAGTTGCCAGGAAACTTTCCTGAGGGGTGCGTCTCTTGTTTCTTTGGAGAGCTATATTCTCGCCAGTGGCCAGCTGCCTCCTGGGTGAGGTGAAAGTGGGTACCCTGCTGACTTTTACTTTCTATCTCCTGCTTTCGACCAAAGAAAGAGCAAATTGTGAATCTAAATAGTGGAAAGCCTGCCATTAAGGTCTGGGGTGAGGTTGTTAAGTACATGAATTTGCAAGAGGGAAATTCTCATCTCCTTTTTGGATACCTGGTTATGAAGGCAGTGAAGAACATTCTGATTTACTGGCATTTAGCATAAAGTTGGAAAAGACACCTGTACTCAGAAAACTGGGTTATAAATATGGGCCTCCCACTTACAAGCTCAAGCTGGATTCTTACAAAGTAATTAACTCAATGACACCTTAATATAACTCATCTTTAAGTTGGGAAAAATACCTACCCTCCTTAACTTTGTTGTGGGGGTAAAATGGTTTAAAATGATTTTAAGATTAAATAGCAGATGCAAGTGCAAATGAATGTCATTAAATACCAACATTTCATTATCTAAAGGGTAACTGTTTAAATTTTGGCTCCTCCAAATATATTTGTATTTATACATGTTGATACTTAAATTTGGCTTAGATGAATCTCTTCTGGATCCCCTCTGAGAGAAGGGAAGGCTTAAAGCTGGGTTGGTGGAAGGGAGTTCTTGGAATCTGAGACTCCCCCATACTGAAATCCTAAACACAGATTATATTCCCAATACACGTTTTAAAAATTAACCCTATTTCTGTTACCTTCCGATAATATACATATCAGAGAGTTTATAATACTGGCATTTATAACTTGAGTAAATCTCCTTAGTATAAGAATTTTCTTAATCGTATTTTGCTGGTAGTCTATTAAATTTTTTTTTCCTGGCTAAACTTGCAGTTTTCCTCTCTTTCTCCTATCCCAACATAAACCTAAACAAGGAAAAATGGGAATTTACTGTCTTCACAGTTTATGTTGAATTTTACTCCATTTTCTCCCTGCTATGCGCGAATCGCACTATATGCAATTTTTTAGTTCTATGTGACCCACTATGGAATAACCCCCTTTAATGCCAGAAGCTGCTTAAGCACCACAAATTAAATTTGATTTAAAGCTTCACGTGTAGGGCAGCCACAGCCTTTGCCAGGCATGAGGCAGAAAGCTGATCTTGTCCCGCCAGACCAAGCCTTTCCCTCTTCATTTCTAATGCAGTTTCCAAAAACAGGCCTTCACAGGCTGCAGAAAGAATCTGGAGAGAGGATTTGAAAAATGATCCTTCATCCGTCTATTAATATATATGAGGTGTCTTAATTATCAGCTCTTGAAAATATAGAGGGGACTTGCTTTTTTGGAATTAAAGATCAAGTTGGTGTTTATGTCTATAAATCACTCTGCAAAGCAGTCACAATTTCCTAACAAATATTGATTTATAACAATCTATCAATGATTCTTTGTCATTTCTCTAAGTGCCTAGCTCTGGGATAGATACTGGTGTTAGAGAAATGTAAGCATTAAAAGACCAGGTGCCTGCTCCCAGTAATCATTAACATTTAAACAAGGGGACAAAATCTACATAGCTGAAAAAATTATAGGAGGAATGAGGTAAAACAGGGTGATATAGTCATGCTTACAATGGAATAAAAAAAAACAGACTATTATTTACTAAAGTAGCTGGAGATGGCTTGAGAAGACTCTGCCTAAACAAAAGAAGGAAGCATTTTCTAGGAGAGAAGACAGAAACAGGTTTTCGCAGAATGTTTGACACTGAAGGGACTGGTTTTGGAATGGGGGATACACATGAGGGGATCTTGGGATATACTTCAAATAACTTCAGAAGTATCTCACTCCAAGGATTAATATTGAAGGCAAGTTATAGGCAATAGTGAATACTGACAAAATAAAAATAAATACTAAATTCAGGTGACAGAAATCACTACTTTTACTAGTGACAGAAATCACTAGTTTTATTGTTAAGACCTATTATTTAAAAAGTCATGCTAAAAAAGTTTGGAAGTTTTCACTCTCACCCTTACAACAAGAAAAAAGTGAACAAAATCAAAGCCAACAACTCTTCTTAGATCCATCAGAGAATTGAGGTCATAGGGCAAACTCCTGCTCTGAGAATTTGAGATAGTGAGGCAAATACTGAGAATCACAGTGCACTGGGACCAGAAAACCAGGAGCAGGAACCAATATGAATTAAAAACAATTAATTGATGAGTCACTGTAGGGCTAGTATGGACTAGCTTGAAAGTTAAAAAAACTCCATGAGATCTAATCTTAGGGGTGCCTCATACTTTCATGAGCTTTGCTTCCAAGAGCCTGTCCAGGGTTTCAGGCTGAAGATCAGAGACATGTTCCTTTACGCTTTGGGCAAGGGAGGAGGGAAAGGCACCTATCTTGAAATGAGCCTACAGCACTCTTTCTTCTTAACAAAGGCATGCCCTCAAGGGAAACTTCTTTAGCAGAGCCTAAATTACTCGAGTTTTACCGAAACTGGAGGAAAGAGAGATATCTAGCTCCAGCCTCCTCAAGCCTTCCTGTTTCATCTAAGAAAAGGAGGAGGAAAGCTGAGAAACACTTGTAAAGGTCAGAGCCTGAAGGCACGGGCTGATGGAAAGACTAAGACTTTATCATAGTGTTACAGAATATTTACCACCATACCAGTCAAGGGCTTTCAGATGAAAGAATGGCCAGGCTCAGACCCTGTTTCAGAAGCAGTCTCTAGGAGAACTGAAAGAAACAGTGGAGATGTAAACAAGTACATTATAGGAAATTTTAGCCTTTTACACCTACAACTATAGAAAACAGTAAACACAGCTTAACTCCTAGCCACATAAACATAAAATCTTACTCTAAAGACATGTTTACTTCAGTTCCTTTTATCTGATATGTTATATCTCGTTTTCAAACAAAAAATAAGACATTTTAAAAAGAAAAAGTTTTGAAAAGACAACACAACCATCAGAACCATACTCAGATATGGCAGAGAATGATCAGAATGAGAATATAAAATAACCATGATTAATAAGTTAAAGTCTCAAATGGAAAAAGTGAACAATGTAAACAATAGATTGGTAATACAACCTGAGAAATGGAAATTCTAAGAAGGAATCAAAAGGAAATGCTAGAAAACAAGACACTGTAATAGGAATAAACAGTGCCTTTCATGGGCCATTAATAGACTGGATGTGGCCAAAGAAAGAATAAGTGATCTTGAAGACAGTCAACAGAAATCTCCTAATCTGAAATGCAAACAGAAGAGAACATGGAAAAAAAGGAACAAAATACTGAACACTGAGGTATAACTACAAAAGGAGTAACATACATGTAACTTATGTCACCAAAATACAAGAAAGAGAAAGGAACAATATAAATATTTGAAGTAATAGTAACTGAGAATTTTCCAAAGATACCAGAACACAGATGCAGGAAGTTCAGAGAATACCAAGCAGAGTAAATATTTTAAAAACTACATCTTGATGGATCATATTCTAACTTTAAAAAGTGGGGAAAAATGAGAGAAAAATCTTGAAAGGATTCGGGGCGGGGGGAACTTACCTATAGAGAAATAAGAATAAGAAACACATCTTTAGAAACTATATAAGCAAGAACAGAGTGGAGTGGAATATTGAAAGTGTTGGAAGAAATTTACAACAAACCTAAAATATTGTATCCATTTTTCCTTCAGATGTGAAGGAGAAATAAAGACTTCTTCAGACAAATAAAAAGTGAGGGAATTTGTTGCCAGTAGACCTGCATTGTAAAAAATGTTAAATTCTTAAGAGAAAATGAAAATGATACAGGTCAAATTTGGATCTTCATAATGAAAGGAAGAGATAGACAGGAGTAAATAAGGGTAAAATGTCTTACCTTTCCTATTCATAATTAATCTAACAGGTAAGAACTTATTTATTTATTTTTTAATTAATTAATTTATTTTACTTTACAACATTGTATTGGTTTTGCCATACATTGACTTGAAACTGCCATGGATGTACATGTTGCCCATCCTGAACCCCCCCTCCCGCCTCCCTCCCCATCCCATCCCTCTGGGTTATCCCAGTGCACCAGCCCCGAGCATCCTGTATCATGCATCAAACCTGGACTGGCAATTCATTTCACATATGATAATTTACATGTTTCAATGCCATTCTCCCATATTATTCCACCCTCACCCTCTCCCACAGAGTCCAAAAGGCTGTTCAATACATCTGTGTCTC